AAAGATGTTAAACAGGAGTAGTCCCAGTACGGAGCCCTGGGGGACACCGCTCGTTACCAGCCACCAACTGGATTTAACTCCATTGACCACAACTCTCTGGACTCGGTCATCCAACCAGTTTTTCACCCAGCAAAGTGTACGCCCCTCCAAGCCAAGAGCAGTCAATTTCTCTAGGAGAACACTGTGGGAAACATTGTCAAATGCCTTACTAAAGTCAAGGCAGATGACATCCACAGCCTCTCCCTCATCCAACAAGCAGGTCACCCTGTCACAGAAGGAGATCAGGTTTGTTAAACAGGACCTGCCCTTCATAAACCCATGCTGACTGGGCCTGATCACCTGGTTGTCCTGCATGTGCTGCATAATGGAACTCAGGATGATCTGCTCCATCAGCTTCCCTGGCATCTTTTCTCCAAAAAACACAAGAAGCTAAACAGTCTATAAAATCAGTATTGAAAAAGGGCACGAGGACTACGCGTGGCAGAAAATAAATCACAATTCAATTAACAGTTGTTTTCCACCCCAGTAGCCACCTTACTGGCAAGGTGCGTCTCACATTCAGCAATCTTATTATCCAAGCTAAATTCACAGCCACAGAACAGGAACAAAAGCAAGATGCTGTTTCCCATAGATGCACAATGATACCAATACAGTCGCTACTCTGAAGCATTGCTGTGAGTTATTTCACATGAGGTGAAAGACAAATGAGCAAAAAAGATTCTTAAAGATACTTTACCAAACTGAGTGCCTACCTGTGTTACTAGACTGTGAGCTGCTATTTTCTTGACTTAAGTAGGGAGGAGCTGAAGGTTGCTTCTCAGTACTCTGAGCTAAAACAGGCTTTACAGATACCACTTCTTCCTGTATAGGTAGTTGTTTCTCATGTATAGGCAAAGTTTCCTGTGAAGAAAGAGGTATTGTAACTTCTTGTGCCATCCTTACAGCTTCTGAAAACGGAATTTAGAAAAAAGCATTAACTACATTAGGAATCAGGAAAAAAAAATTATATTAATGCCAGTATTTACTACGATTAGACACATAAGCATCATGAGAAGGTTATATTCTGCCACCGTGTGTAAGCTGCAGGACTCTTATCTAAACTTGAAACTCATTCAAACTGTTATTACAAATAATAGAAAATATGTCCACTTTTGGTTATTCTGACGTAATCATTTTGGATTTCAAGTTACTGTGAAACTCTTTAGCATTTTTGAAAACTGAGAACACAGTACAAAATGTAAAAGAGTAACAGTTACCTGGAAGCAAAAGGCTTGCTGGTGCTAGGAACTGATTCCTAATCAGCAGATCCACAAGATCACCAACTGTACAGTTTGTCGTTCCCCAGTCGTAAAGTAATTCACACGTGGGGCTCTTTCCCATTTGTACAAATGCCTCAAATCTCCTTAAAAGGCAAATTAAGACCAACATTAAAAAAGAAAGTGACCTTGAGAGCCATGAAGAAGGGAAAAAGATCAAAGGTAAATGGTAAAAAAAAAAAATCTTTAAAAAAAATCTGACTGTACTGTACAATTAGTCACAAATCTTCTGAAAATGCAGGTAAAAAAAAAAAAAAATCAAAGAAATTCAAACTTAGGGGAAAAATATGCAAAACATGAGAAAAAGTAAGGGAAACATATGCATACGTGGCTCCAAGACCCAGAATACAGACCCAGCACACAGGACTAACAGAGAAGAGAATGTCAGCGAGAGACAGAGGGCAAGTCAGAGCCAGATCAAATGGAAAAAAATGTGCTTTCCATCCATTTGGCATTCACACTTCATTTTGAGATGGGCATTAAGCAGAAATTGAGATCCATTATTCTGACTAATTTATTATTATTACAGAAAGACAAACAAAAATTTCATGCTAACATCACTAGAAAGACTGGAAACCCAAGATGATACACAGGGTATTTAAAATCTCCTAACTTTTGAAATAGCTTAAGGATTCGACAAAGCCTTCAAGCAACAAGGCGTTCATAAAATACTGCTGACATTACTTCTAAATTAAACTTATTAGTTTTAGGCCTCGGGCTCCCCACATTTATTGGGCATTTTCTTGGGAGCAGTGAATTAGGAGTTACAGTCCAGCTGCCTCTTATACCGTTCTTGTGCAAAGACGCGTGATGAAGTCAATGTTTACTAGTCTCCAGGGTACAGAAAGTTACACAGCCCATGCTGTACCACTAAAATTACATATGTCTGTGGCTCTAATTAATTCTAATTTTCTTGGTCAATTTGCTTTGGCTATAGCTTGTCTGAAAAATGACCTACAGAACAATTCGGAGTAATTACCGTGAGTTCCCTAAGGAAACCCCGGCACTGAGATGTAAGCGCCTACTGATACACAAAGCGCAAGAAGTTACAGTAATGGGGTGGACAACGGTATTTACGTTAAATGGTTAATAACCCAGCTTATGTCACGTGACTTCTACAGAGCACCTTATATGCATCTGGCTGTATCTGCTTTCGCCGGACGGGTCGGTTATATCGACTGCCAGTTTCTTCCACCCTTCCTGCGGGTCGATGAAGTCCGCCAGCCGCCTCATGAGCCCGTAGCTG